GTTGAATTCCCAATCTGACTGTCCATTATTTCATGGAAAAAGGAATCATATAAGAAAAACGTCAAGCATGTTTATCTTGCGAATTTCCAGTTTGATACGAATTTATCAAGAAATGAGTGTCGAAAACCTCCGGTTTGGTCTCACATGAGGTCGATGCCAAGGCATAATAATTATCCACTTCCTCCACGACATTTAATAACGTGTAACAGAAAAAGATTATCGCCGTCGATCGTAAAACATTAATTACCCTTCGAATTTAAGGAGGCATATCTAACAATGCCTAAATGGTCGTTTCGATGGTTTAAATTGGTATCTGAATCAGATAAAGACCATAAAATTTAGTGATGCGACACTGGAAATATTTTTGTCTAACAAGCGATTTGTATCTGCGCTTTACAAGCATTAGCTTTTAAAATATATTGTTTGCATGTGATAAGATGTTACGATTTTTTTCAGGTAAATGCCTTAAATGAGTTGTTAAGATCGTAACGAACACTATTTGATAAATTGCGTTTGCTTTTGCAAAATCAAATGAATGGTAATTTCTTCAAAGTTCTATCTCGGATGTTTAATAAAAACAAAGTGAAACAATCGTTCATTTAAAGCTGTATTATTGCGCAAACTGAGAAACAATTTAAATATCTTTCATCCAAAGCCCGGTGAAAATTGATATTCAAGGTTACAATAATTGGCATAAAGCTGAAAATTTCGATCCCACATCTGTAAAAAAAATTATTCAAGGTCAAAGTTCGCAAATATGGCTTTTTTGCATTTTTCAGCCAAACGGTAAGTTTTATCATAAAAATAGGTCGGACAAAATGTCAAATCATGCAATTATCTATAAAAATTGTTTTTACACTTTTTTCCTAAAAATCGCCATTTCTGAGGTATAGATAATTTTCAGGAGGGTTAAAACAACAGTTTTTAAATTGTTTGAAAAACAAAATTTAGTTAATTGTGATAAAGTTTATAAAAAGAGTACTCCATAAGCTGTAATCAGGAGTTCCAAAAAAATTACCTACTTAGATAAGTTTCGATACTTATCTTTTGTAAAAAAAATACTCGTAATAAACGAGTGTAATTAGCTTGTCTTCCCCCAACCTTTGCTTCTGCTCATCAACATCTATTTCGGGTATATTATCAAGTTCAAGTGTGGCTTGGTAATCAACTGGACCCAGAAGACTGGGGTTAGAAGTTAATTGACAATACATCCAGGGATTTGTATAGGAAACAATTGTACGAACAATTTTTATAGATAACTGCATGATTTACAATTTTTACTCTGGGCTATTTTTATGATAAAACTTACCGTTTGGCTGAAAAATGCAAAAAACCCATATTTGCGAACTTTGACCTTGAATACATTTTTTTGCAGATCTTGGATCGATGCGGACTTTTCACATTTCATTTATAATGCTGTTCCCGACATTCGTACCAATTTTCAGCTTTATGCGAATTATATTATTAAGCTTACCCCTATTTTTTGAGCTATTTTGACCGGGTTAATTTTCTAGTTATCTATTTGAAACTGCTTTGCATATAATATGTCTGTTTATTATTTACTTTCCACAACTGTGAAATAAAAGGTTAGTCGCTTATTTTGAAACAACTTATACATTTGCAACTTTTACTATTTACTTATTTTCTAAAAAGTCTAATTTAGAATATGTTATATCAATTGATCTGACTCTAAATGTAACACTCTGTAAATTGAAAAAACTAGTTTTGTTACACTCCTTTATAAACCTAAAATTTTAATTTAAATGTCACATTAAATTGATTAAATATCAATTAAATGGAGTTATTTTTAATGTGTAGTAGTAACTCATTAAAATAGAAGAAGATAGTGGATGGAGGACGATGCTCACAGAATGAACATTTGATTTAAACATTTTATATTAAAAACCAGATATTTTTAACTTATTACTGGTCATTCACCACAACTTTGTTAAATGGTTAACGGTTTTCTATACAGATTTCAGTGACAATATTATTATTGTAATAGTCTCGACATTCGCAGTTTAATAAGTGATTCGTTGTATAAATTATATTACAATAATAATGCTTACTATATGGACCACGATATTGAAAGGCGTAATGATAATGAAAAAAGGCACATTGAGTCAGCTGAATAAATTTTGCTAATATGTTGTTAATTTGAAGCCTTAGAACTAAATATGATTAAAGGTGAATGGATTATAGTGCCACTAGCATTTAGATAATTAATTATTTTGTTATTAATTATTTCTTTCAAGCAGAATGTCTACGAACTAATAATTGCTATATATGTTTTAACTATTATTATTATTATTATTATTATTATTATTATTATTATTATTGTTAGTAAATACTGTGGTTTTCAATAAATAATTATCATTTGAAAGAAACTGGAAATTTAAATTGGGAGCAGGTTTAAAAGATTATTTACTAAATTTAATATGCAACTACTTAATGAAAAATGTGAAAAGGGTAAAGTAGAATTATTAATAAGTTTCTCTTCACAAGAACAGTTTATTATCTCATGGATTTTGGTACATAAAAAGATAATTAATTAAATTATTTCTAACTGTATTTTCAATGATTACTCAAAATAAGAACATGGTAACATAAATGCATTATAAAAGCAATATATCTTCATCAATATCCGTCAATTATATTGGTGAAAGGATTTAGATATTTTTAAGGGATATATTTACAGGTGTCCTCAGTAAATCCTAAACAATTTATAGAACTATGGCTATATCTTACCTTAGCTAGACTAGAGGTACGTACAAATAAAACTATATAAATAAATAATAAATTAAACAAAAAACGTTACGCTGACACAAATTCACACTAATAACATTTTAGTTAACCGTTAGTGATCGGGAACGAAAAATATCCTTCAGGTCGACTATTGCAGTACCATATTACACGGGACGGTCTCGTTTTCGAAAATAGCGCGCGCTAGCACCTGGGTACCATCCCCATGACTGCGATCAGCACTTGCCCGCCGAGCAGCTTGGACTGATAGAAGAAGAGTTGTGCCATCCTGAAGACCAACGGGGTCGTTGACCATCTCGGTAGCATGGCATTAATGCCGGTGCAGGCATTACGGGGGGGAGTACCGTTAGTACTTTACTTTGGTGATCGAGTTGTGGAAGAATTAATTATTACGATTCTTGTGCCACAATCTGGTACGATTGATGAAGGGACTGATTTTTGACGATTGAGTTTGTGAAGATTTTACCTTCAAGTCCTTAGCTTCTTTAAGTGACCTTAAAGATCGTACTGATCCTGAGAATTTGGGTCAAGTTGTGTGCTATACAGCCTGCAGTTAATATCTAGCATATATTTTAACTTGGCAATACATTGTGGAACGCATGAACGTGGGTCGAATAATAACAGAAAAATAGAAACTATGATTCTGTATGCTCTGAAATTGTGGACATTTCAAATATCAAGATGAAAAATTCTAATGTGAAGTAATATTTTATAAATATCGTCCAGCTTTAATATTTCTAAATAAATAAAGTTAAGTATCTAAGTAAGAACAAAACTTATTCCAAGCGAAATTTTCTGATACAAAGTTTGTTAACTTGCGTTTTACTTTTTAATTTTTCCTGTATTGTGATGATTGAGTTGTGGATGAATTCAACATTACGAATCTTATGGCACGATTGATGGAGGAAACCAGTTCAGAGAATTCACTTGGTCACGTGGTCTTTCAGAATGTTCTCAGGTCATTCTGATTCTGAGAATTTAGGTCAAATTGTATGCTAACTCCACTCCTCATATCCGATAAGGCTTAAGTTAATATTTAGCATATATTATAACCTAATAATGTCTTACGGTAAAGCATAGGTCAAATGACAAAAAAAATCTAGGTACCTATATATTCTGAACTTCTACACAAGTTCTAAAATTTTTATCTTCAATAGGAATTTCGAATTATGAAATAAATAAAGTCAAATGTCTAAGTAAAAAACAAAATATTAGGTGGCAGATCCTCGGATAAAGGAATTTATTAAGTTACGTTTTGCTTTTCACTCAAACAATTTACTGTAATGTACCTTACTTTGATAACACACCAACGCAAAAAAAAAGTCTAAACCCAAGAGAGCCACATATAATTTCCGAAGGAATTCGATGTGCGGCACATTATCCTGCATTCAAAATTCATAACTTCACTGCAAAACGGAGAAAAGTGAAATATTTGGGTTAAAGCGCCCAAATATGGGTCAAAACTGATTTTTTCCTAGACTTTGTCCAAATATAGCATTTTCGTAGTATTTTGGGGCGCTGAACATGCTGCCATAAGTAAAATTTACCCATGACCTCGATATTTCTCAAAAAATCCACCATTTGGGTAAAATCTGGACAAAATACTACGAAAATGATATTAGGTATATTTAGTCAAAATTTAGGAAAAAGTCAATTTTCACACATACACTGAGCTCGTAAAGTTTGGAATAAATTCGATAAATCGTTATTGAAGGGTTTTGACAGGAAATCCTCGGACACGTCAACTTTAGTTTGTAAAATGTCACTTTTTTCAGCCATCGACTTTTTTTTTGTTTTGTTTGTTTTTGAGCTATGACATCATCGGCAATTTTTTTAAATGGCAACCCATATTTTTTTCCACGGATTTCGATAGAGCACATTTTTCTGAGTATGAATATGTCAAAAACGTATGACCTTCAAGATGGAAGTTTTCGAGATAATAGACAGTTTAAGTTGATTGTAGATGATCATGATATTAATTTGAGCATGCGCAACGGTCAAATTCTACGTATACGTTATGTCCGATACATAACTTAAACTGTCTATTAGGTTCCAAAGTTTCAAGGATGTACCATATACAAGGTATCGAGTGGGTCAAGTTTTTTAATAGCTTATCGAACATTTTGAGAGATTTTAGGAGCAATTTGTTTAATTTTTTAAGTAATAATCAACAACAATTTTAACAAATAAAAAAAGGTTTCTGTGCAAATGATAAATAATTAAAGTAAACAAGAAAATCAGAGGAAATTTTCAAAGTGACCTCCATTCACTTCTTGGCAATATCCCATTCGCCACTGAAACTCCTGCAGAACCTTATGAAGAATATCTGGTTGAATGGCTCGAATTTCATTGCGAATTCTGTCCTTTAATTCTTCAATGGTATTTGGTCTATTGAAGTAGACTTTGCTCTTTAAATAGCCCCATAAAAAGTAGTCTAGGGGAGTGAGATCCGGAGATCTAGGGGGCCATTCGATAGTTCCTCTTCGACCAATCCAACGGTTAGCAAATATTTGGTTTAAATAGTTGCGAACGATCACTGCAAAATGAGGAGGTGCACCGTCTTGTTGGTACCATATCGTGTTATTGGGCAGATCGGGATCTACGTCATTTGGGTAAAGCACCGCAAGTGCAGGGACTAAAACGTCTCTTAAAAATTCAAAATATTTTTCACCTGTTAATGCGCCTTCAATGAAAAATGGACCCAAAATGCGGTTAGCAACAAGGCCAGCCCAAACGTTAACTTTTTGTGGAAACTGACTACGAGTTTCCATTTTCCAGTGTGGATTTTCAGGAGACCAATATCTACAGTTTTGCCGGTTTACTGTGCCGTCGAGATAAAAGGTAGCCTCATCAGAAAAAATAATATTGCGTAAGAATCCGTCGTCATCAATCAGGCGTTGCAACATGGTTTCACAAAACTGTAACCTACGGTCAGGATCATCTTCGTTTAATTGTTGGACCAAAACCACTTTATACGGATGCCATTTGTACAATTTCAAATATTTTAAGACGGAGCTTTGAACTATTCCGTTGTTTGCCGCCACTTGGCGGGTGGGTAAATGGGGATTTTCTTGAAGCTCTAGTAGAACATTCAATTTAACATCTTCTTGTACTGGTGGACGACCCGTTCTAGGGCGATCTCTCGCATGACCCATTTCTAAAAACTTTTGCTCTATTTTACTAACCGTGGACTGTGTAATTGGTTCTCTGTTTGGATATTTGTTATTAAATAAACGGCAAACTTCTACTTGTGTGCGAGCTCTGTCCCCGTAACCGATCATCATCAAAATTTCGATTCTTTCCCTTTCACTCAAACGACGAACCATTTTCAAATAAAATGAATTCTGATAGAATAATGATTAATTAACTTAAAATAAAACACAAACTTGCGAGGACAAACTTCAAAATTCTGACAACTATCAAAACTGTAATTTTTTCAGAGCTTCCTTGATAAATGATTAGTACTTTGTCATCGCTTGTATAATGCATTCTTGAAACTTTGGAACCGAATATCTCGAAAACTTCCATTTTGAAGGTCATACGTTTTTGACATATTCGTACTCAGAAAAATGTGCTCTATCGAAATCCGTGGAAAAAAATATGGGTTGCCATTTAAAAAAATTGCCGATGACGTCATAGCTCAAAAACAAACAAAACAAAAAAAAGTCGATGGCTGAAAAAAGTCACATTTTACAAACTAAAGTTGACGTGACCGAGGATTTCCTGTCAAAACCCTTCAATAACGATTTATCGAATTTATTCCAAACTTTACGAGCTCAGTGTATAGTAGATTTTCTGAGAAATATCGAGTTCATGGGTAAATTTTACTAATGGCATCTTGTACAGCGCCTCAAAATGGTACAAAAGGAGAAAATTTATCAGTTTTGATCCATATTTGGGCCAGTTTACTGAGAAATAGAGGTCACTGGTAAACTTTACTGATGGCATCGTGTTCAGCACCCCAAAATACTACGAGAATGATATATTTGGACACAATTTAGGAAAAAATCAGTTCTGATTTGAGCTAGTTTTCACTAAAATAGTGGATTTTCTGAGAAATATCGAGGTCATAGGTATATTTTGTAGTGGCATCTTCTTTTGCGCCTTATGCTACATTGTACAACTACCTAGATCAACAAAGTTAGTAACTGTATTGAAAATAATCGTAATGATGTATTTTTTCATAGTAGGTGATTACAACTTGAATAGATTTGAATGATCCTATGATATACAAACTTAGTCATTCTAACATATGTTGGTAAGCGATGAAATTTATCAAAGTTTTTCTGATTTTTTTATAGCTTATTCCAGTTTAATGGCTGTGTTAATAGTAATGATAGGATATTAGACTTATTTTTGTCCAACTATTCAGATATTACAGTGAGGAGGTGTGATTGTCCTTTTGTTAAAGAAGATTTGCATTATGTGTCACTTGATATTCAAATTGATTTATCTTACATTGAAATGAAAGAACCCAAAGTTTCATATTTGTCTTTTAACTTTTTTAAAGCAGACTATAATAAAATTAATGACGAACTTAGTGTCGTCAATTGGGAATTATTGTTTAATAAGACTACTACTGATAGAGCTATTTTAATTTTTTACGAGGTTCTAAATAATATTATAGAGAAATATGTTTCTTTAGTTGGCCATAAAAGTAGGAAACTTCCTATCTGTTTTTTTTTTACTGACACAAGGAAACTGCTAAGGATAGAAAAGTATATTCCATTATAGGTGGAAAAAAATATAATATAGTTGATGATTATAATTTGTTTGAAAATTGCAGAAGTCAGTCTAAAAAACAAATACACATTGATTACAAAAAATTTATTGTTGATACGGAAAATAATATTATTAGTAACTCAAAAAGATTTTGGTTATACGTTTCGCATATCAGAAGTATAAATACTATTCCCTGCAACATGAATTATGACAACAAAGTTTTTGGTAATTATCCAGACATAGCTAAAGCTTTTGGTGAATTTTTTGCTTCTGTTTATGAGCCATCTAATCAGCCAGTAATTATTAATGACCCTGTATGTTTTAACAATGTTATTAATATTATTGACATTAATGACACATAACAGATAAGATTAATAACATATATATTGATAAGGGTGCTAGGTGTGACAATATTCCTCCAATTTTTATCAAATCGTGTGGTAATCATATCAAGTTACCACTTTTTTTAATATTTAATAAATCTATTATTGAAAGTGGAAGATTGCTAAAGTTACACCTATTTTTAAATCTGGCAGTACATATGAAATAAATAATTACATATCAATTTCTATTTCATGCACTTTTAGCAAAATCTTGGAATCAATTATTACGGATAAATTATTTTTTCAAATAAAATATTTATTAAACGAAAACCAGCATGGATTTTTTAGTCATGGATCTACTGTGTCTAACCTTGCTCCTTTTCTCATCTCTGATAGTATGGATAAAAATGTTCAGGTGGATGCTGTATACACTGACTTTTCGAAAACTTTTAATACGATTCATCATGATACTCTTTTTAATAAGCTTCGATGTGTTGGTGTGTTTGGCAACCTTCTAGAATGGATTAAATCGTATTTAACCAATCGTTCCCAGTACATTGTGGTAGTCATATAGGTCCTTTACTGTTTTCTATATATGTATATAAATAATATATCTAAATGCTTTAAGCACTGTCGTTTCTCGATGTATGCTGATGATATTATGATGTTCAAACAAATTTCAAGTAATACTGGTGTTGTTGAATTTCAGGAAGATAGTCATAGATTGTATCATCTTTGTAAGTGTAATGACTTATTTATTAATGTTAAGAAATGCAATTTCACTAGAAATAGGCATACTTTATTATTGGTTCTAATATTATTGAAAAAGCTTATAGTATTAAGGATCTCGCAGTCATCTTGGATGATAAGTTGGTATATGATGTTCATATAGATTACATAGTAAGACGTGATTTTCGAATGTTGGGCTTCATTTTGAGACTTACCAAGAATTTTAAAAATATTAAAAGTATGTGTTGTCTTTATTTTTCTTTGGTTAGGTCTCAATTAGAATATAATACGGTAATAATTTGGTTTCCTTTATATATTAAATATACTTCTGCAAAAAATTAAGGGAGCAAAAAAATTTTTCGAATTTTTAGTGAATTTTCAGAATGCTGTATCTCAGTTAAAAATGATCGTATCAATGTTTTAAAAAAAGCATTTTAAAGCGCCGAATGTCTAGTTTCCAAATTTCTTAATTCAAAATTTTTAGGAGGACTGTCATCGCGAAATTCTAAGAAATAAGACTAAACAATTTTTTTTCAATTTTTTGCGTTTTTTTTCCTCGGTCCACGGGCTTGGAAAAATTTTTTACACAAAAATCATGATATGGACTTGATAGCCTGTTCATTCAGCTTTAATTTATTTTTTTAAGTTTTTCTCTACGTTAATTTGACCCGGAGATATTCGACTACGAATACAAAAGCATCCTTTTGGCTTTAACCATCGATATCTCAGCAACTAATGATCAGACAGAAAATTGACGGGCAGTTTCGAAATCTCGAATAAATTTCCTACAAGGCTATGTAGCGTTCTTGGAAGAAAAAAAATTTCTTTCATCCTCGACATTAACTTGAAAAAAGTGAAAAAAGTGACTTTTTGACTTGTTTTGCTAAGTCGACCGCATCTTTGCTAATATCGATGGAGAGTCTAATGCTTGTACGAATTTTTACACCTCGATGTACCCCCAAAAGCTCCGTAAATGGGCAGATCGATCTATCGAACGGTTTTTCCGGACCGCTTAATCAAAATTTCAGAAAAATTTAAAGGAGCAAAATTTACATTTCTGAGCACCCTGTAACGTTCGTAAAAATGAAAAATTTGATTTTTTTTCAATTCTTTCACAATTGGGCATTTTTTGCTCATTGAATTTGAAAAAAAAAATAATTTTTGAAAAAAAAATTTTTTTTTTAATTTTTGAAAATTTTTTGAAAATTTACTCTTCTTTATTTTTTAACAACTCAAGATAAAAATATTGAGTCATTTTTGAAGCGATGTACTCTTTCCGTACCGTAATTTCCTTTATTTTGAATTAACGAAATTGATTAAAAGTTGATACCCCCAAGATTGGTGTAGTCCTCGATCTGCGAAAAAATAGTGCGTATTATCCTAAACTTTCTTACGAAGCTGAGCGACTTCTGGTGCGGATAAATGCCGTCTAGGCATGACAAAAATTAAAAAAATTGAAGTCTACAAAAACTTTTGATTAATTTTTTTCACTAGAATTACAAAAAATATTGTTAGTTTTGAGAAAAACTGTTGGTTGGTTCCTTTGAATCAAAGATAGAGTTTAAAAAAAAACTGTTTTTTTCACACTTGTTAGCTTCGTAAGAAAGTTTAGGATAATACGCACTATTTTTTCGCAGATCGAGGACTACACCAATCTTGGGGGTATCAACTTTTAATCAATTTCGTTAATTCAAAATAAAGGAAATTACGGTACGGAAAGAGTACATCGCTTCAAAAATGACTCAATATTTTTATCTTGAGTTGTTAAAAAATAAAAAAGAGTAAATTTTCAAAAAATTTTCAAAAATTAAAAAAAAAGATTTTTTTTCAAAAATAATTTTTTTTTTCAAATTCAATGAGCAAAAAATGCCCAATTGTGAAAGAATTGAAAAAAAATCAAATTTTTCATTTTTACGAACGTTACAGGGTGCTCAGAAATGTAAATTTTGCTCCTTTAAATTTTTCTGAAATTTTGATTAAGCGGTCCGGAAAAACCGTTCGATAGATCGATCTGCCCATTTACGGAGCTTTTGGGGGTACATCGAGGTGTAAAAATTCGTACAAGCATTAGACTCTCCATCGATATTAGCAAAGATGCGGTCGACTTAGCAAAACAAGTCAAAAAGTCACTTTTTTTCACTTTTTTCAAGTTAATGTCGAGGATGAAAGAAAATTTTTTTCTTCCAAGAACGCTACATAGCCTTGTAGGAAATTTATTCGAGATTTCGAAACTGCCCGTCAATTTTCTGTCTGATCATTAGTTGCTGAGATATCGATGGTTAAAGCCAAAAGGATGCTTTTGTATTCGTAGTCGAATATCTCCGGGTCAAATTAACGTAGAGAAAAATTTAAAAAAAGAAATTAAAGCTGAATGAATAGGCTATCAAGTCCATATCATGATTTTTGTGTAAAAAATTTTTCCAAGCCCGTGGACCGAGAAAAAAAACGCAAAAAATTGAAAAAAAAATTGTGTAGTCTTATTTCTTAGAATTTCGCGATGACTGTCGCTCCTAAAAATTTTGAGCTAAGAAATCTGGAAACTAGACTTTCGG